GTTGAAAATGTGGATTATTTGTAATGGACAAATTCTTCTGGAGCACATGACTAATTAATTGCTGACTACTTTAAATTTTATTATAACATGATTGTAACGAATATGACGAACGGTTGCGCAGAATTAATGTTACTATGTAAAGCGGGAAACAACTTAATATTGCGCTTTTTAGATAAACATGTATAAAATTCTAAACTTATGAAGATTAATATTAATACTGAAGAAGGCCTAATTTGAGGCCGAAACATTTATTTCATTGTTAATGGATAGAAATATAAAATTCTAGCGAAGAACATCTTGCGTTGTGGTGTATGCCTTTATATAAAACTTTCTGTTTTTAATTACTTTTTAACTTTTTTTTTGTTTTGCGTAGAAGAAAATCTTCGCAATGTCCTCACCCGATAGAGGTCCAAAAGGGACACTCATCAGGGAGAGAAGACACCTGGCGCACACTGGAGTCGAAAGAACTTTCGTGTTTCAAAAAAGGCTACAGTCTCGAAATTTGAATTGATTTCGAATTTTTTTAAAATGAAAACTAATTAATTTGGAATAACTTTGTCTAGCCAAATTTTTATTTTTTGCTTCTATTTTTTATTAAATCGTACATAAAGAGGTTAGAAAGTTTTTAACCAAACAATAACTCGTTTACTATTTTTTTAACTTTTAATTCAATTAATTTTATTATGGATTAATTTATATTTTAATTAAGTTAAATTTTCAAGACTGTTAACTTTAACTTAACTTAGTTAAAAAAAAAGTTAACTTACCCAACCCTAATAATAAGAAATAAAATAATAAGATACAGTTTAGATGACTTATATTCTTTAGGCAATTCTTATAGCGTTGTATTAAAAGTTAATGACGTCAAGAATAGGTTTAATATTACTCTAATTATCGCTTGATCGACGAAGTACTCTAAGTCGGTGAAGACAACTTTTATAATAAATAAAACAAAAATGATAATTACTAATAACTAGTTTTTTACATATTTATGATCTTTTAATCCGCGTTTGACTCATTGTTATAATTAATCAATCTAAATAATCAACATTAGAATTAATAAAATGTACTCTAATATCTAATATATCTTTCAGCAGTGATATTTTTCAAAACAATATTGATAAAAATGTTAATCGATTATGGCCCGTGTGTGTTTGTAAAGTAAAACACGGGTAGGGTAGACCGGGGAGTAAAGGGCCACTATTGACATTTTTTCTATAAAATAAAAAATATTTAATTTACACAGATCGTGTTGATATTTTTCGAAATTAGAGGCACTTCTTACCCCATATGCGGAACAAAAAGTTCCATATTAGGGTAAAAAGTACCAATACTTCTATATCAAGTTTGAACTATTTTCAGAGATAAAAATAAGTACATATTAGAGTTTTTTAGTATAAAGTATCTACATTAAGTGTTATAAGATTGATATTTTAATTTTAATATATTTTTATTATAGGATTTCTATTGTAATTTTGTTACAATACTTGTAGTTTTGTTTCTTCTTTTTCAAGTTTTTCTTAGGTTAAGAAAACATGTCAATAATTTAATTTTCTGTTAAAACTGAAATTATCAAAACGGAACATTTTTATTTTTGTGTTATATAAGATTGACATTTTAATTTTAATATATTTTTATTATATTTCTATTGTAACAAAATTACAATTCGCAGGGCCGACCCAACGTTTTTTCTTACAGATTCTTTCGTTTCGTACAAAAACGCGTCGAATAAGCTCAATTTCATCGAAATCGGAGATGAAAGTAGCATTCTGAATAATTACCAGTCTCTCTGCGTAATGACCACTAATGCTGATTCTACAATGAATCGATAATCGGAAGTAATCGGTGACGTTTCGTACAGTTGGCTATTGGTCAACTTCACTGATAAGACTTAGGATGATCGACTTGTTATAGAATCAACATTAACGATAACAGAACAACCATGGCAATTTTTACCCCAACAAGACAAGTAAACTTTGCGGCATTGTTATCAAAAACTATAGGGTAACTCCGGCAAATACGCTGCGCTGGGATTTACGCCGCAGAAGTCAGAAAAAATAGGAGTGAGGGTAATTTTCCTGTAACTACTCTGTTACATGCCTTTATGTTATATTAGTATTGTGTTATGATTTCAGCTTCTTACTGTTAATATTAATGAATTTATTGTGAGTTGAATCAATTTGTCACTCTAATAAGTAACACCATCATAAGTTATTAGGTGTTCAACTTAATTCCTGCCGTTTTTCGTCTCCAAAATTGATTTATTTCGGAGGGAAATACCTTAATCAAAGTATTATTAATAAAGTATTATTAATTAGTAATAAAGTAGAACATGGAGGAAATTACTTTGATTAAGGTATTCATTCATCTTCCCTTCGAAACAAATCAATTTTGGAAACGAAAAACGGCAGGAATTAAGTTTAACACCTAATATAATCTACATAAAATAATTAATGTAGGATGTGTAAAAGACTTAGTGATTATTTCGTGATACATACGTGTAGTGGAATAGTAAAGCATGTTTGTATTATTAAGCATGTTTGCATTATTTGTAAATTTTTTACGAGCCGTACATACCTCCTTTCCCCCTATGAATAGCCATATATCCCACCCCTATGAGATATGCGGCAAAAATACAAGGTTTCCAAATGTTTATTTTTTAATATGAAAAATAAATATTTCGGATTTCTAATATTTTTTTCATAGTAGTAGATAGTACAAAGTTTTTACTGATATAGTTCGTTTACTATAAACGTAGTAAATAATACTTAATAAATTAAGTTTTTGATAGGTGCGGCGTATATACCGGAGTTACCCTAATAGAAATAATCATTTTAATAATCACGCTATTAAAACAATAGAATAAGATTAATAAATACACTTATTTAATCTATTTAGTTGCAAAAATGATCCCTTCAGACCAAAATAATTGCGACACTAATATCTTACTTTTGACTTCCAAATGCAAGGTCATGTCCGTGCAAGCTTCCTAACAGTTACCAGGAAGCAACGAATGTTGTGGCGTAAAATTCCCACTCTTAATTGACGAACTGTGTGGCGGAATTTTTTAATGAATGCGTTATTACCAAGATACAAGGGATAGACCTTTTTCCCCGGGGACCTTTACTCTCCGATCTACCCTATATTATTTCTATCTGAGTAAGTATATTATAATAATGGGACGTGTTACTAAATAAATGTCATCGAAGTATTATCCAAGTATTAACTAAGTAATGACATTTAAAAAATTATTGTTTTCGATACAGTGCGATCGATATCGCGCGATTAATAACGCCATCTCCCAATTTTTTTAGTGTCATAATAATTATTACTCTCTGTTAATCAATTTTAGGTGGTACCAATTCACCTTGTATGGTACTAATGGTTAACTTCTTAGGAGACTTGTTCGGCCCCTTGCCCGGCACGAGAACCGGTACCGCAACATTGTCCGCATTTTTTTCTTTGTAATACCTCATCATAGCGACAATAAACATGCCCAGACCACCGAGGATCATAAGCCACATCACTATCCTGCAGAAAAAGTCGATCAGTCATCAACTGCAGTAGTTTCGGTGCGAAAACACCACGCGAAAAAAATTTTTTCGCAAAATTTTTTGGTATGCAATGTCAGACGTTTTATAAGACGGAATTAAATGATCGAAACAATAATGCGATAGAGAAAAAAAGTTTATAAAAAGATAATATTACTTACTTTGCAATTAAAATTTGTAAGTAGGCAACTTTCAGCGGTTTTATGAGAATATTCCCGAGTTCGAGGCCATCCTCCACCCAAAATAGCGGAAAAAGCGCTTCCGGAAAGGACTTCATCAATCGAAGTTTAGGGATGGGTCCTACTATCACGTTGAATTGAATCTTTTTATACGCTTTCATTGGAGTGCCTGTCATCGGATCAAAATTAAAAGTCATCCGGTGCTTTTCCTGCAAACAGTATCTTTTATTATAATTCTCGTAAACTTCGTAATCGTTTCATTAATCATAGCAATTTGCACGGTTAGAAATTGTCATTGTTGGTAAATTCACATTGGCTGCGTTCCGTTTCACGCATGATGCGCATGATGCATCATTTATCCTTGTTTAACATTCGGTGAATAACAAGAAAAAATAATACAACATGCGCATTATGCGAGAAACGGAACGCAACCCTTGTTTCTTGAAATTTACCTTTTTTTTTTATTATGAATTTATTATTTCTATAAAATTAATTTTATTTATAGATATTATTTAATATTTTATTCTTTAGCTATTGCTTAAAATTAGTTTTATATATACTTGTATAAATTATTGTGAAATTATATAAAAAAAAGAAAATGTATCTTGTATGAGTAAAAAACTGCAGGACAAAAAATAATAAGCTTAATTTTATTATTTTATATTATTTTAAAGAGTAAAACAATTATTAAACTTACAGGGATGGGATTTACACCCTCAATCATCTCGAGGTATCGTGGGTCAGAATTATAAAAATGAGGTAGACTTATCCTAAAAGGCACGTTTTTGCAAGGATCTGCGTTGAATATGTTTTTAGGCATGCACCCTTCGGACTCTTGACAAAGGCACCTCACATCTTCGTCCTCAGACGGATCGCCCAGGTCCGCCGTGTAGTGTAGTGTCTTGAAACCTGTGTTGCAAAACGTGGTCATTTCACTAATTTCTGTTTCTCAGCATGTTTCAGAATCGATGAAGAGCGAACACTTAGCGTGACTTTCTAAGTTTTTGCGTATATACCTTGAACTTTTCCTGGTTCGAGATAATATGCGCCAATACTTCGACAAATGTCTTGGGAGTATACCCAGACTTCTTTTTCCTTGCTGAGGAATGGTGGGAAGATGGTTCCGTCTGTGCCGCGAATATCGTTGCAAGGATTGCCAAACCACATCTTCAACTTCGTACTATTTCCTATCGTCAGCACACGACCTATGTCTTTGTAATTTTTAATTCCACGGTATACTCTTATGCGTTCCGGCGAACGACTCCCGTTTGTCTAAATTAAAAAGATAACATTTAAAATATATTAAATTCTTAGAAATTCTTAAAAGTCCAAAATAAAAAATATTATAATCCTATCCAAATTAATTTAATCTCGCCCGAATTTAATTAAATTAATATGCACATATATATCCTAAATATTAAAATACATTTAATTTTATTTTAACAATTTCTGACAATATTTCTTTCCTATACTATTTCCTTCCATGTAATTAAAACAATACATTATAAAGATATTCTTACCAAAACATTACTTAAAGATTTTGTGTAAGAATAAGATGGATATTATTTTTTAAGGCAAAAGAACAATTTTTTTTATTCACTTTCATTAATAATATAATAATACAATAGCACAAAAAATTCGTAATATATTTGCAGGTATATTACCTTAGCAAGATAACCAAATCTGAAACGTAAACCTTCCTCTCGGATTAATATCTCTTCCCTTTCCTGTAAAGCGGAGCACACTGCGGATCCAGCGAAATCTGTTATATCCGTGCAATCAAATAGTATACCGTCAAAGAACAAATCTTTTACAGTGGTTTTGATAAATATTGACTCAGGTTTCTTGAAAATACTGTCAAACGCTTTGCCTAAAGAAATAAATAATTATATTTAGTTTGCCTTGTATAAAATTTTAAGAGAGAGAGAGAGAGAGAGAGAAGTAAGAGAGAAAAGGGTATAATTTAAGATTATATGTATATTATACAGGGTGTAAAAAAATTGGATCGACAAACTGTGAGGATAAATAGGGGACATAAAAACAAACATATTTTGTTAATAATGTTTTCCTCTACGACGCTTCGTTTTAATACTACAGGATACAAAATAAGAATTTTATGATTTTAACAAAAAACATTCATATAAGTGGAATAATTAAATTTATTTCAATTACACATATATATTTTAATCTTCAAAAAACAATGAACAAAAGAACGGAACAAAAATGGTAAATGATTAACTTAATTTATAATAAATGTTCAAAAATTCCTTTATTTGCTTCAACACAAAGATGACATCGTCGAAACATTGATTGTCTCACACGCTCGAAGACTGCAGGAATATTTTGAACCTGATATGCTGCAGCAGTAATTTGGGCTACCAATTCTGCTTCTGTTTCAATAGGTGTCTCATAAATGAGAATTTTCATATACTCCCATAAATAAAAGTCAAGCGAAGATAAATCTGGTGACCAGAGAGACCATGCGATAGGACCTCTTCGGCCTATCCAGCGCTCATTAAATCTTTGGTCCAAGTAATTGCGCACAGTAGCACTGAAATGGGCAGGTGCTCCCTCGTGTTGGAACCACGTTTGCCTTCTTGTGACAAGTGGCACGTCTTCCATGAGTTCTGGCAAAACTTCCTCGAGAAAAATACGATAAATATTGCCATTCAATCGTAAAGGTAAAATGTACGGCTCGATAAGGAAGTTATTGATAATACTTGCCCATATATTAACCGTAAATTCTTCTTGATGTGATCGAATAAATGTAGCATGATTATTATCCTCACTCCAAACGTGAGTGTTAAACATACCTGTCCTTGTGAAGCTTGCTTCGTCAGTAAATAGTATTAAAGAAGAAAATTCGGGGTGTGTTTCACACTGCTGCAAATATCATCGCGCAAATTCCAAACGTCGTGGATAGTCTTCAAATTTTAAATCTTGTACACGTTGCCGATGAAATGGATGTAATAATTGTTTCTGAAGAACATTCCATACATTCATGTTACCAATGTTAAATGCAATTGCACGTGTACTAGTGGAAGCATTGTTTTCTATTTTTGCCAAAACTTGCTCTTCAAATCGCAGAGTTTTCACTGAACGTCGTCGTCCTTGTCCATTTGATCTTCTAAAAGAACCATTCCCTCGCAAATATCGATGAATGGATTCGAAAATGGAATGATGTGAAATGCGGCGACCAGGATATCGTTGTTGATATAGTCTCTGTGCTGCCCGTCCATTGCAATTAGCTGCTCCATAAGTAAGATGCATGTCACTCAATTCAATCCAAGTATATCGCTCCATAATGATAAACAAATCACATCAAATTTATTAAGATATAATTGAAGACTTCTGCTCCATTGAGCGCTTGAATACATATTACGTAGACTAAGACCAAAACGAAATATTGTAGAGAGAAATATTAACAAAAAATGTTTATGTTGTAGTCCTCTGTTTCCCCTCAATAGCCTTGTGATGCACGCTTTATTAATAAACAGTATACAGGATATCTGAGAGAATGGTTCTTTCAGAAGATCAAATGGACAAGGACGACGACGTTTAGTGAGAATTCTGCGATTCGAAGAGCAAGCTTTGACATAAATAGAAAACAATGCTTCCACTAGTACACGTGCAATTGCATTTAATATTGGAACAAGTAACATGAATGTATGAAATGTTCTTCATGAACTATTACATCCATTTTATCGACAACGTGTACAAAGTTTAAAATTTGAAGACGTACCACTTGACACAAAAAGGCAAATGTGGTTCCAACACGATGGAGCACCTGTTCATGTTTCGATGTCATCTTAGTGTTGAAGCAAATGGAGGAATTTTTAAACATTTATTATAAATTGAACTAATGATTTGCCATTTTTGTTCCGTTCCTTTGTTCATTGTTTTTTTTTAAGATTAAAATATATGTATATGTTTAATTAAAATAAATTTAATTATTCCACTTATATGTTTGTTTTTTGTTAAAAACATAAAATTTCTATTTTGTACCCTGTAGTATTAAAACGAAGCATCGTAGAGGAAAACATTATTAACAAAATATGTTTGTTTTTATGTTCCCTATTTACCCTCACAGTTTGTCGGTCTAATTTTTTTACACCCTGTCTAATATATTATATTCAAAAATATAATTACAAAAATCAAATATAATATCATAAAAAAAAGTGAAATCCAAATGATAAAAAAACTAAAAATAATAGCATAAAAAAAGAAGTGAAATCAAAATTCAAGTATATTTATTCAAATAAGTCCCATGGAACCAATGCTCCTGCAGTATGATGTAGTGTAGCCTCTAAACATCCTTAGGATATCTTTTGGACAACTATGTTGTGTGAAATAATCTCTTGTATTTAATTTATCCTTATTTAATGTTTAGAAAACAACAAGGATAAATGATGTATTACGCGTATCATGCATGAAATGGGATGCATCTATAGAATATAGGAGACATTTAAAATGTATAAAATAAGGCAATAGATTAAAATAAGATCATGAAATGCAATAGATAGCATAATGAGAGACGCAAATATTGAAAAGGAATTTTTACATCAATAATAAGCAATAAATTGTATGAGAAACAAAAAATCGAAGATGGACAAACTCCAGCAGCAGCATACTTGACGCGCCCGTTTTGTTCATAATTTTAGAATAAGAATTGCTACGACAGTTGTTCGTACGACTTGTCAATAGTATCGTATAGATATCAATGACAATTAAAATTAATTGCAATTTATTAAAGTTTTAAATATTTCAATAAAACTAATGTTATAAGTAACATTCTAAATAAAGA